GGACAGCAGATTATTCTGATCCTCTAATTCATATAAAAAGGTTATTCTGCTGTGGATCTGCGTTGACCTCCATGAGTAAATTTGATGGTTCTGCAGAAACTTTCCCAGCAGCTGGCAGGTCAGACCACAGGAAGACATTGGGTAAAATTCTGTTTTTTACAGAGGTTACTGCAGTTTCATGGAAATAAATTAAAAACTGACTCTTCTGAATGTTGGACTTTTAAATCTTCATTCATGATGTTTTTAATATTTACTTTTAAAACACCCCATATCTTTTCAGCTGCAGCAGAAAGTGAAAGACAAAGGCCTTTTAGTGTCTGTAATATTTTCCTTTTTTAAACCACATTCAGCCAGAGAGGCAGCAGTGAAGTCAAAGAGCTGTGCGAAAGTGTTCGGTTACCCCTGGTTATTCTTTGGTTTTTAGAGAGCAGGACTGCAACAGAACTTCAACAGGTTTGTCAAAGATCTGTTTTTCAGATGCTTTTAAACAAGCTCAACATGCTCAAGCACCATTTCTACAAGAGGGGGGAATAATGTTGCTTATATAATCAACATGGAGACAAACCAATTGCTGTTGGAACATTTTATTGGGGTGAAAACATGCTGGAGTAAAATTTGCAGCATGAGATGAAGCAGGAAAACAGACTGAACTGTCAATTATCTTCAATAACCAGGCGAAAATTACAAATTATAACTGTTCTACTACACATCCATGTTAACTGAAGGGTTAGGAGACAACCTAGTGGAAATGGAGCAGTTCAGCCCCCTCCTGCCCAGATGACACCACCTGTTCTCTGCTGTTTTACCACCTGCTCTCTGCTGTTTTACCACCTGTTCTCTGTTTGTTCACCACCTGCTCTCTGCTGTTTAACCACCTGTTCTCTGAGGTTTAACCACCTGCTTTCTACTGGTTCACCACCTGCTCTTTATTGTTTTACCACCTGCTCTCTATTGTTTTACCACCTGTTCTCTGCTGTTTTACCACCAGCTCTCTGTTTTACCATCTGTTCTCTGATGTTTTACCACCCGTTCCCTGTAGTTTTACCACCCGTTCCCTGTAGTTTTACCACCCGTTCTCTGGTTTTACCACCCGTTCTCTGTGGTTTTACCGCCTGCTCTCTATTGTTTTACCGCCTGCTCTCTATTGTTTTACCATCTGCTCTCTACTGGTTCACCACCTGCTCTCTGCTGTTTTACCACTTGTTCTCCGAGGTTTTACCATGTAGTGAACCAGATGACCTCAAATCTACCAGATGGACAGAGACTGT